TATATGAGCAATTTACTTTTCACTCAACCTGACTTTTTGAAAACGTAGGAGGAAACTGGGGACCCATGAAAGCACAGGGAGAACATCGAAACACAGTAAGGCAGGAGCAAAAGTGTTAAATCATTAATCGGGTAGTTATCATGAAGTTATTATTTTTAAATATATTACAAGTGGACTGTAATATCTTTAAAAGTATTGAATAAACCAATTCACAGATTCCATTGCGCCACTTAGCAAACCGATCAACGGCTCCAACATCCAGTTTGAAAAATAGTGAAATGTCGCCCTCGTGTGGTCACAGAAACTTCACAAGATTAGTTCAAACCAAGGTGTAATATGTGTGACTAAAATTGCTCTGAATCCGTCCATCCATTTTCTAATCGGCTTATCCTCGCAAGGGTCGTGGGCGTGCTGGAGCCTTATCCCAGCTGTCTTCGGCCATCAGGCGGGGTACACCCTGAACTGGTTGCCAGCCAACCGCTGGGCACCCATCCATTTTCCAAACCACTTGTCGTTGGATTAAACAAAAAATGCTGTTGATCTATCCCCTGCCACCTGACACCAAATACCCTCATTGGTCGTAATGCCCGAAAGACCACTTAGCAATCAATTCATTTTCCATTTAGAGACCTGTATTTAAATATCCAACCATCGATCTAATTTTCATAATACACAGTTTCAATTTACTCCATACAACTGAACTTAGCCGTGAAATGAGGTATGACAAAAATTTATTCTGATTTACTACAGGTGAAAAACATTGATAAGCTGTGCATTTTGTACCTGGGGCTTCAGTGTGGTGGACCAAATCCACTTAATAATAATACCACTCTCATGTCACTGTGAAATAAAGCATCAATAATATACAACATAACAGCACACAACTGTGACATGTACACAATCAATCAATATTTATCTAATATACCACTTTAAAACATAATACTCATTAGAGTTGCTAATTTTACATATATTGTGTGCAGCTCACTACAGATGTGTTTTGCTAGTTGAACCTGGCTTGCTGACCAACCAGAGGACGGAAATATAATGAAATTATTGTGGGCCAGCTGGTTGGCCCTCAAAGGAGAATTTGAAATCTAACTAGTTAGAGAAACGGTCCCCTTGCAAATGCATCAAATCTTTTTGCCATTGCAGCACATAGGCTGAAAAACATTAGATTCATGGAACAAATGCTATAATTATGTTGTAAATGTAGATGAGTGCTTGTGCACCGCTCCAGAGGAATACACTAAATACAATAAAACCACTTCGGTATTTTTGAAAAATGACAGTAACACATGGAGCGTTTAAATGCCACATTCATGTGGCTGCGCTGTCCAATCACATGGCGGCTTGCGTTATGCCCCGCCCCCTTCCACCGACGGTCCAATTTTGACACGGTGGGAGAGTGCCTCGCGCGCTATGGCTGCCACAGACATGGCGGCTCCTGCCTCCGAGGTAACTCCTCCGGTGACTGTCGATAATTGCGCTCCCGTCTTGGATGAAACTCATACAGAAGACGACGGCAACACCGCAGCGGAAACGGTGGAACCACCCGGCTCCGGGGAGCCGAAATGGGTTGAGCTGAAGGCGGAGGCCGGCGAGGCGGCGGAGCAGGCCCCGAGCGAGGCGCCGCCGTTTGACGTTCCAGAAGCGGTGAACCTGGAGGCGACACCCAGTCCCCGAGATACGGAGCTGCCTTCCGAGGAGCTGCCGCCGGAGCCGCAACGGAACTTTGCAGATGACAACGGCGAGCACGTCGGCTGTGCCACGGAGAACGATCTTAAAGAGGAGCCTGGCGAGGAGAGCCGGTGTTCGGGTATGGAGGAGTGCGACAAAAAACCGACTTGCGTAGACGGCGACAAACTGAGCGGCGGACACGCGGCGCTGGGGGACAAGAGGCGCCCGAGCGTGGAGATGTCCTCCTCCGACGGTGAACCGCTGAGCCGCATGGACTCCGAAGACAGGTGAGAAAGTTTACCTAGCCGCTGTCACTTGTCCCCGGGGACTCTTAAATTCCACTCGGGCAAGGGGGCAACATACGGAATGAACTGGACCCCGCGTACTCGCGTTTTTTTCAGCCTTGGATTCACCTATTCGCGGATATTTTAAAAAAAGGTGTGGATGTAGTGGCAACACCCGTTTTTTCTCGAAAAACTCTTATTAGAGGTTTATTTGATTCGATTAAAAAAAATCTGTCATAATTCATATTTCATAAATGCAATAATCATCAGACTAGTGGGGGCACAAAGCACATGAAAATGTTTTTTTATTTTTTTACTTGACTTCCCCATGTAAAGAAATTAAATGAACAAAATTACGGACACGTGCTGATAGATACTTTTTGTATTCCAAATGCGGCAACATGTACTGTCTAATGGTGAGCCCCCCCAGCCCCTCCCCAAAATAGCATTGATGAAAACTTATGACCCATCCATCATTTAGGTTACACATCCCTGGTGGAAATATTCCCCAAACTACTTTGTAGAATTCCAAAAACAAGTAAATAAAATGTTTTTCATATGACCTTTTGACCTGTCCCCTCCTGCTCTCTCCTTAGTATAAGCAGCACCTTGATGGAGATGGAGAGCACCGTGTCAAGTGGGCGCTCCACCCCGGCTATGATGAATGGACAGAGCAGTGCCAGCTCCTCTGCTGTTAAGACTGTGGCCTACTCCTGTTGCTGGGATCTTTGCCTTCAGTACTTCAACTCGAGCCCCGATCTAGCTGAGCATATTCGGGGCGTCCATGTGGATGGACAAAGAGGAGGGGTCAGTACATTTGAACGCTGACACATTCTTTATTGGGCTCTTTCTTTTACGGATTCCAACTGGTCAATCTCCAAATGGTGGATATTTCAAAGTGATTGAGTCAGCTGTCATTAGACAGTTAAAGGAGAAGTCAAGTCAAACATTTTCTTTACAATAATATGTTGCATGTGCCCGTTCTGGTCGAAACACGGCATTCTGAATACTTTGTCATTTGAGCAACCTAAATTATGAGACAAATCTGCTGATATACTTTTTGTATTCTAAATGCGTGTCTGCTTATGTGAAAATGGGCCCAATACAGGTACGCTTTAACCCAATATGGGTACGCTTCTGTGCGGACATCACAAAGAGGGCGAAATGTTTTTGAAATTGTATATTCTACTGATATTCACATCGTTTTATTGAGTAATCAATTAAAAACAATTATTTTGCATTCATAAATAATCGCACATAAATATAATGTGCACGTTCAGCAAAGGTATTATTTTTGTGCGCTTGCGGTCACCATCCACAGTATCTGTCTTTTTGAGTGTGTAAAAGGCTGGGGGCTGGCCTTGTGAGTGATGTGTGTGTCGGCGAGTCAGTGTCGCCGGCTGTTGTTCGCTCATGAAAAAATGATCTTTGCACAGCTACAAGGCAGAGATTTTGCTTGCATTTGTTTTGTGTCATTTCTTTACACTCCCTTTCTGCATCTTGCGGCTTCAGGTGTTTGTGTGTCTGTGGAAGGGTTGCAAGGTGTACAACACCCCATCCACCAGTCAGAGTTGGCTCCAGAGACACATGCTGACCCACAGTGGTGATAAGCCCTTCAAGGTAAAAACTGTCAGCATCATCCAAATAGAATAAACAATTGGCTTCAACACACACACACACACACACACACACACACACACACACACACACACACACACACACACACAAACATACATACATACACATATATATATATATATATAAGATCCAGCATGCGTTCAACGTGTGTCATATTTCACTTGTCCCATGCTCTGCTTCAGTGTGTCGTTGGTGGCTGCACCGCAAGTTTTGCCTCCCAGGGGGGGCTGGCTCGCCACGTTCCCACCCACTTCAGTCAGCAAAGCTCTTCCAAAATGTCCAGCCAAGCTAAACTCAAGGAGGAGTCACCTTCCAAGGCTGGCCTCAATAAGAGGAAGAAGCTCAAGAACAAACGCAGGTGCTCCCTACGTACGTAAACTAAAAGGCACACTAACATGACACAGCATACTCACAAACACATCTGTCTGTGCCATTTTCTCCTGATTATATCTCACCTATGTACCCTTGGACAATGGATTACACATTTTTGATCGATGGTACATTTCCCTCCAAATGTGAAGCCAATTCCTTTTTTCCCTGCTCTGCATGGAAAATAAAATTGAATCTCAGAGAGGAGATTAACAATTCCATTTCCAGGCATTTATATTTGGATCTGATACACTTGGAAGAATATGTATACGTACATAATGTCTAATTTTTAGGTGAGGAAAAATACCAGAACAGATAAACTTCAAATCGATGAAAAAAATAAGATGAAATATTCCTTTGCCTTCAATAACTGCAACAAGTCCGTTGAAATCGTCAAACGTTTGCATTGTTCTTTTGTGAGGCTCATACAAACTTTCACCACAACCTCTGTCTGTTGTTTTTGGGCGAGGGTTCCTCTCCTCAGTCTCATCTTCCGAAGGTAAATTGGAGGCTCTATCAGAGTTCAAAACTGTAAATTAATTTGATCAGTCCAAGATCTTCGATTTCTTGCCCAATAAACTCCTCATTGTTCTGGTAGTTTGTTGTAATTATCTTTCTCCATGATGAAATAACTCTTAGTTTGTTGTGTTTTTCAAAAAAAAATGGCTGACAGAATGTTTCTGTAGCCTTCTGCGTTTATTTTGCTGCTATCGTCATAGGGTAATCTCTTGTTCCGTATCAATCCGGAAGATGCGTACTGCTCGTCTACCGCCATGCGTTATAGGTTGAAATAATGTTGCTTTGACTCACTCACTGAGCTCCTTTTCATTTTTTTTGGGGGGGGGGCAGGTCGGGGGAGACCATCTGACTTTGTATGTTAATCCGTTTTTGTTCGTTTGCCTCCACTGTCCCTCCACTCTAACAGCGAGGCCCCATGACTTCTTTGACGCTCAAACCATGGATGCCATCCGCCACCGAGCCATCTGTCTCAACCTCTCCACTCATATTGAAAGTGTGGGCAATGGCCACAGTGTGGTCTTCAGCAGCACGGTGAGTCTGTCTCTTAGACAGCCTTGAGCGTCCATTTCAAGAAGAATTCAAGTGTGTTTGAGCAGCACGCTTTTCCCACGTATGCAAACGGCATACTGTACGTATTCCTACACCGCTGCACAAACAAGTTCATTGTGAGCTGTCTCGAAACAGTGGATGCTGAAACCGTCGTAAAATTGAGGATTCCCTGTTTTTACTCTTTGAAGGGGGTTAATTATTCATTTTGTCAATGGCTCAAGTACAAGAAATGTTTCCTGATGACAATAAAAAAAGATATACAAGAGTAGACAACTAGATAAATCGTTCAGTAGATATGTTTTATAGACAAGTTTATTTTTCTGCGTTCAAGAAATCAGGCCGGCCTGTCGAATGAGTTTTTGTTGTGAATGTTGCTGTGCTTGAGTCTTATATTTGTGTTTTATTTTGGTCAGCAGGGGGCGAGGTAGTTTCACTTTTGTAGACCATGCTGTTATTTATTTATTTTTTTCCCTCTGTGCACTTGAGCTGAACCTCTTTTTGCCTCAAGGCTTGATGGTGTTTTTGTTTGAATCAGACTTCACAGGAAAGACAATGGAATTGTGTTTGTATATATGGTGCTCGTCATTCTAAACCTGACTGTGATGTAATATTAATCAGCTGTTCAAAGGCTCATATAGAAACCACATCATCAGTCCACTCAAAAGCTTTTCCAAAATGACACTATTTCTTACAAATGTAACTTTTTAATCATGAGTTTTGATGGGTAGCTTTTACCGTGCAGTTCCACTAGAGAGCACCCAATCCTTTGCTGCCTGCAGACTATGAAATGCAACGTTTTGGAATGTGCAGTGACATTCATGCACCACATTTCAACAACATCTAGTCAGAATCATCTTTATTGGCTGAGTATGCGAAACACACTTTGAATTAGATGCCAGTAATTACTGTCACAAGAAAGACTCTCCAAAATATAGAGGCCCACATGTATTATTTCTTTCTCCTTTTACGTCAATAACTAATTCAGGGCAGGTTTGAAAGTAGCCACGAATGAATACTGTTGGTGTAAGTGAACATGTATCACTGTACAATGCATTTTAATTGTGCTGTGAGACAATAGCGTGCCACTCGTGGCTAACCTTGTAGAAATAATTAGTGTGTTCATACGATGCAAAAAGCATGTATACCCTCAGAGGGGAGAATTGCAACAACCGCCTGAGGTGCTTTTGATCTCACACTCGACTCATGCATCTTATGCAGATCAAAATATGAAGTCGAAAAACTGCTGTGATAAGAGAAGATTCTGTTCTTGTCCTCGTTCATTTCTTGGTCACGTGTGGCAAATAGACCAATTTGCATGCATGAAGCAGCCTTTTTTTTTTTTTTACTGCAATATGCCTGCATGTGATTATTAGCGTGAAGAACATTAGGTGGAAAAAAAAATCACGATCATATGCGCTAATTGAACTAAATAAAACGATACTCACTAGCATCTAAATAGGTCAGATATGCTGGGGACCAAGAAGTTCAAACAATGAACGTGCACAACAAGGGTTTATATAGTTCCGTTTTTCAGGACGTATCAGCAATGATGCAGAGATGCATTGTGGTCATTTTGCAGGCTGACCCCTTCTGATGGTTGCCTTTTAGTCGTCCTCTGTGGTGTTCTCTTTTCTTGCTTTATTTTGAGTATTGACTGCAAGCTGAGGAATGAAAAATGCAAGGGAAAATCTGCAGACGGGATTTGAGAAGAGCTTAAAGAGAAGTCACAGCATTTTTGTTGACAAGGTTGTAAGGAGGAAACCTGTCCGGCGGGAGACTGATGGAAGCTTGATGAGAAGAGGGTGAGGAAAGGGATTTTGGTGAACGTCCGGGTCATGGAATCGCAAAGAGATCGTGCCGGTTGAGTGTGTGTTCTCCTTCCCTCCAGCCCTGGAGATTTGTGGGCTAGAAGGACTGTGGCGCTGCATCAGACCACAGCCCCCGGCGGACTCTTCCAGGCCAGGGACAAAGCAGAGCCGCGGGGGTCCTGTGTAGTTTGGCCAGTGAGCCTGCTGACACGCCAGAGCAAGTCAGCCAAGTTTATGATCGGATATTTTTGTTTTTGCGCCCATCTGCGTCATCCAGTGCTTGACCCGCTGACATGAGACAGGCACCCAGTTAGAACCGGCCTGCCCTCCCCCGCCTTTGGTTCTCCCTTTTTCACTGCCTGTTTTGGAGCTGCTCTGATGTTCACTCTTCACCGCTCATCCTCCCCTTTTCTATATCTCCTCTCTCTCTCTCTTTGTGCTTCATTTGACAGATGTGGCATCATTAAAGCAAGCACCTCACAATTCACTTCATGCAGCTCCAACACAGGCCAGCGTATTCATCTTCAGCCTTTACATACTTTACATATCATTCCATTAAACCTTTGGTCTGTGATCATGAACCAACTTCTGTTTTTCTGACATTAAAGCAGCTGTTACATTCAATTTAGCAGGCCCTTTGTTTGACCTCGGAAATGTCTCATCGCTTGTGGGGATTTCATGTTTTTTTTCAAGGAGCCAGAGAAAAGTTGTTTTGAGATAGCTGAATAACAAAATGCTTCATGGCAAATTTAACGAGGAAAAGAATAGGAAGGTCAAAGGGGGATTCAGCTTAAGTGAAATAATTTGCTTAGATATTTTTTGTAAAATAAAATCACAATAGCGACGCGATCTGTTCAAGAACACTGGTTGTCCTTCATTTTGTTTGAATTGAAATATTTGTGCTGTCATCATCACAAAACTAACTGTTCCAGACAATAACGTTTCCAAAGTGCAGGCTACTCGGTCTGTTATTCTTTTTCACGCTGCCACCTTATTCCACCTGCGGTGAGTTCACAAACCCAAATTAAATTCCTACTTGTGTGTCAATTCTTTCCCCAGCTCAATATTTGCGTGTAATGCACACCTCAACACCGCAACTGTATGTATGAAAAGTACCCTGTCAAAACCGATTACCAAACTAAACACAATATATTCTGGGGCGAAAGCTGGCAAGATGTGAGAAAATCTTTTAGAGGAGGTCTTGGTCTTTTTTAGCTGGTGTCGTGTCCTCCATCCTCTCCTCAAACTAGTTTCCATCCCTGTCACAGTCAGTCTCAGGGGTAACAAAAATAATTTCAGATACTTGTGTGCGTAAGAGAATTTTTTTTTTTTTCAATGTGAGCTCATTCGCAATCCTAAAAATAGACATTCCTAACTTAAAAGAGCCGATTGATGCAAGAGGTTATATCTGCGGCTATTTTTGACGCTGCTGGTTATTTTTCCAGCTCTCTCTTTTCCCTATCGACAATATTTATGTGAATTCCAGGCGAGTTTTACTGTAAACTGACACAGCAGGACAGACGGAATGTTATGCAGTAAGTAAAGGCCAATGGGACTAAAAATTCTGTTTTGTTCTGGTTTTTTTTCATCTGTATTTTCAAAAGTAGAAGGTTAGGAATCATGGACGGTCGTGCTGCGATTTGTTTGGTGGCTGAGTTAAAGCAGGTAAATTGGGCTTAACTGGCCGTTCACCTGTCTGAACAGAATGCATGACTCTCACTCATTAAGCCATCGTAAGTGTACTCGCGTTTGCCGATTATCAAGAGTTTTTAGTTAATTTTCGATACAACAGAGGGCTGAGAATTGTATGTAATTGAAATTGGAACATCTACATCTCTAACAATTAGGCTACGTTGTGTGGTTGCAGAGTCTTGAAACAATCGCGGCTTGGTTGGTTTACCCACTTGTCCAATTTAGTTTAACATGTAAAAAAAGAAAAGTGAAAAATGTGAACCAAAACATAGGGCGGCACTGTGATCGACTGTTTAGCACGTTCGCCTCACAGCGCAGAGGTGCAGGGTTCGATTCCGGCTACGGCCTTCCTGTGTGGAGTTTGCATGTTCTTCCCGTGCCTGCATGGCTTTTCTCCGGGTACTCCGGTTTCCTCCCACATTCGAAAAACATGCAAGGCAGTTTAATGGAACACTCTAAATTGTCCCTAGGTGTGAGTGTGAGTGCACATCATGGTTGTTTGTCTGTGTCTGCCTTGCGATTAGCTCACAACCAATTCAGGGTGCCCCCCGCCTACTGCTCAAAGACTGCTGGGTAGGCACCAGCACGCCTACGATCCTTGTGAAGATAAGCACATTTAGAAAATGGATGGATGGAAGCAAAATATGTCACAACAGATGTGACAATTGTCTTTTATCTCTCTTCTGCTTTCAGCACAATTTCTTTGATAGAAACAAGGCATTTCATATATGGCTGCCATGTAGATTTGACCTAAAAATATGACAACGAATCAATAATTGCTCGTCCATTGTTCCGATCAGGAGAATAACTTCAAATGTTCGTCTGTCCCTTCGGGGTCTGGTGATGCGCAACAGAGGACGGGTTACATTGAAAATAGAAGTAAAACTTCTTTCCAGCATGCATTATTAAGAGCCCTTACATTGCTGCTTGTAGTTAATGATCAGCCACTGCATCACTCAGTGAGATGTTTGAATTATGAAGCCTCATAATTCCTGGGAGGAGGGTTTGTCTTTGAAGCCACTTCTCTACGCACAAGGGAAACTGGTTCCATCGTGCTTGTTGGATCACAGCTTGCTTTGAATTTTTACACTAACTGGATGCAATCTGTTGGTTCAACTTCTCTATGTATGCCGTTTGTTTTTCTAAGCATTTCTCATTGGCGGTGCAGATAACGATGACCGTAATTCAGAACAAAAATAATTTTACTGGGCATACTTTAATGTTTTATTTTATTTTATTTTTTTGTCTCTATTTGTTGCCGTGCAGGTGCTGGCCAAAAGGAAGGAGGGCTCAGGAAAAGTGAACGTTCTCCTACACTGGATACCTGAGGACATGTGAGTACATCTTCTTCTATTTTGCAATAGTTGGAAAACTGAAAAACAAAAGTATCATTACCGGAATACACATTAGGTTCAGGGGTCACTCCTTAAGACCTTCTATGACTCTGTGGTGGCTTCGGCCATCCACTATGGCATTGTCTGCTGGTCGGGCAGCATCTCAGCCCGGGACAGAGAGAGACTGCAGCGACTGGTCAGGAGGGCCAGTTCTGTCCTGGGCTGCTCCCTGGACACTCTGGAGGAGGTGGGCAACAGGAGGATGCTAGCTAAACTAAAAGCTATGATGCACAGTCCCTCCCACCCCCTCCAGCCCACCCTGACAGCACTGGGTAGCTCCTTCAGCCAGAGACTGTTACACCCGCGCTGCAAGAAGGAGAGATACTGCCGCTCATTCCTACCGACTGCTGTCAGGCTGCTAAATAAACTCACGTGAAAACCTGGACTCACCCCCATCCATACATTGTAAATAGCACAGCCACCTTATGCAGCATACATGCAGTTGCATATCTGCGTATACTGTATCTATCATTTATATTTTATATTGCATTCTGCACTGTGTACAGTTCTTTTTTTTCTGAAACATTTATTTTGGGCATGCAATACTTTGTTTTTCTTTCTTTACGCTGGATACTTTCTCCCATATTCCCAAAACATGGCCATTACTGCAACCATAGCTGAGTGGAGGGGAACCTTGGTGCGAGCTCGTGGAGCAATTGAAAAGGCCATGCGGGGTCAGCACTGTGTCTATGAACGGGGCTCGTCTCATTGTTAGTGAGCTTCACAGAAATACTCTGATGTCTATGTACGTTGTTGCTTGAGGGGAGCGCCCCCCACTGCAGTCTCATTAAAGGCTTTGACTGCACAGCCTCTGAAGATTATCATAGAGCAAAAGGGACGTCGGCTGAAGGAAAAGTTACAATTGAGCAGAAAAGTTGTAAAGGGAGATGCATGGACGAAAGACTAGAAAGGTGAGAGGCTTTTTTTTTTTGCAAGCAGAAATTTTAAAGGGAAAAAAATTGATGACTTTTGGTCATTTAAAAATATCTCAACTGAAATCAAGACCTAAATATATGTTTTAGGAAACTGAAATCAAGACCTAAATATATGTTTTAGGAAGAAAATTATTTGACCCAGAATGGAGCAGTGGAAGTTACAAACAAGATGGAAAAGAGAGCTTACGACATGGTTTCGAAAGTAGCTGCGAGCTACAAGGTTCCTGAAGCCCAACGTGCTTGAGGTAACGTGTCAGTGGTGTCTCAACTTTGGGGAATCATAAGGAAAAGTACAATTCAATTGGTTCAACATTCGTCAGTAAGAGTAGTACGAATGGCACTATTAATTAACATGGAAGTGACACCCAAATAAAATACTTCATAGTGCATGTGCCTTTTGTTAACACTGCAGCAAATATTCTCCATGTGGAAGTCACATTATTAATGTTGGTGTTCGCCATTTCACGTTGTGGTTGTCTGGCGCTCATTAACTCCATTCTGAGCACTTGCAATTTACTGAATATGAGGGGAAATGTGATTCCAGTAAACACTCATTTAAAAAGTTTACTGCAAGGTCAATCTGAAAGGAATCCGAGACAGTTTTACAAATGGTCTTCTATTCAGTTTTTTTAATGAGTAGGCTATCTTTCTGACTTGGATCTGAAGTTCTAAGCAGTCAATGACTGGCTGACCTTGAGATGTTTTGCCAAGATTTTCATGCATGCCAGTGAAGAATATCCAATTTCTTTGCATTCAGCAGCACATTGTTTGCTTTGGCTGCAGTTATTGACTCTGGATAATGTCATTCTATAGCACAAGCCACCATTAAACACTTGCGCAGCATTTTAGTTCAGTTCCAACACTTTAAAAATGGATACGTTTTTGATTGTCAGACTTTTATTTGACAACATTTTGATGTTTTTTGCCAATGCAACTCGTGCAATCGGACGCTTGCTATACCATGAGAACATCACAAACAGATATCTCCCAACTTCACATTTATTGTATCCCAAAAAGAGTCGCCTTGGTAATACTGGCAAGCAGATTTAACATTTGAAGTCGAAGTTTGATGATTGGAAATTGAGGTGTCTGCAACCTCGTTTAGCTATTGACTGTGGCTTGTGACCAACAGTGCAATCAATATCAAACAGATATTACTGACGCATGATTGTTTCATGTGAAATAAATGTATTTTTATTTGGCTGCGGTGAAACGCGCACCCGCTGAAGTGCCTCAATAACGCCTCTATTTAGGCCTGCCCCTCTCTCTCTCCTTTGCACAGAGATGTCTTTTAAAATGACATTTGAATCCTGCAGTCATTCTGCTGAGTCCCAAAGAAAGCCTTTTAATATGCTAGCAATTTAATATACGGTGCTGCTTTGTGTTCAACTTATTGCTCCTGTCATCTCGGCGACCATCGAGATTTGGCAGGAGCCATCAATCCACATTGCAAGTATGGGCTTCTCCCGAGCAGGCAATCCCCCCGGTAGCTCTCCCAAAAGAGGCCTCGCTTGCAAAACACATTTCTGCCCCTTCAATAATCAAGACAAATAACATTCTCCTCTGGAAAGCAAACCAGATACATTTTTGAAAAATCTGGTTTGGTTGACCAAATGAGTTGAAGTCTCCCTGTGAGTTTGCGTGCGCATCGATGTGTGCATGCGTACAGCAGATTTGGATGACTTGTGCCACAGCAGAGTCACTCACTATGACATGTTGTGGGTGACGCTGGAGTTGAGCAAACGCATGCGAGCGTGACACGCGGAATACAATTGGATGTTTACTGAGCATTTAAAACCCAGCAAGTAGCTGTTTGTCGTTTGGAGGTTTGCTTTGTCCGTGGAACGCTAACTTGAGACCAAGCCAAACGTTAATGATGCGTCAACAGGGGTGGGGGGGGGGGGGCTTTCGTCTTTTCATTTGTAACTGGAAATGCCCTACTCTCTGTTGGTACTGTTGTACACAGAGACTTCTTTGTACACACATTTTGGACGATAATAACACGATTTGTTTAATTTTGAACGGTTTTACCACAAAACAGCCTCTGGAATTCAAATTGAAACATGGCGCTTTTCGAAAAGTTCAGGAATTCTATTTTCAAAGTCACTTTAAAACCTTAAACAAAATGATCCAGGCATGATGAAAGTTTCAACTTTGACTTCATTTTGATTCGGTGAAAAAATACCCCACTACATTTAATGCTCAAAAGTATTTGGACCTAGTGAGAGACATATCTGAACATGTTTTAATAATATGGAAAAAATAATTTGATAATAGCCATGGTCTGTTGACTTTAGCCAGCCATTGGCTGCAAATTATTTTTCATCCAACTACTAAATGTGTTTAATTTTAGTTGCGTGTCACAGAAATGTATCATCTGTACGTATTGGAAGGGAAGGAAATACTTTTGAAAACCTTACTTAAAAGTTCAAAGTCTAACCTTCAATCATCCTGATTAATTTCAGATCTGTTGTTCTTTTTTTGAGGCAAATCCATAAATAACTTATCTAAAATACTCCTCAACCTCATTCTACATACATTGTACACGTTGTAAATCTTTTTTTTTTTCATCATGTCGGTGGACACATGCCCAGAGAACAGCATTTTGCTTTTATGATCAAATGTTGGCCTATTTTACAGTACAGTATTATTTTTTTCGCTGACCTTGCCTTATGAATTAACTCAGCACGACAGTAGCAGCTGAAGTTTATCATGTTAGCCCTCTGCTTCAAGGGGAAGCCAGAGCACAGGTTAAGCTTAAATAATTCTTACAGTTAGTTGTTAACATTCAGTATTATTCATCTAATTTGCATCGTGTGACTTGTTTGACCTGCAGGATTGTGAAGACAGCAAGCAAATAATTGCTGACAGTCAAATACAGGAAATGCAAATGAAATAACTTGACGTATACATTTCCTATGTCCCTTCTCTGACCTTTTGTAAAAACACTTCCTACATTTTTATGATTATTATTTTTTTTTATACACTCTTCCTCCAGTGGCCTAAATGCACTGCATGTGAACTACCTTCACGCCAAACAGACTGATTAAAGCATGTGAAAAAGCGATTTGGCAGGGTGTGTGTGTGTGTGTGTGTGTGTGTGTGTGTGTGTGTGTGGTGGGTGGTGGCGGTGGGGGGGCACAGTCGACTCGCTTAGCTCTTTGTTTCCGTCTTCTGCAAGCGCCCTTGCCACTCCAAAACTCGCACACTCCCTCCTTTCAAGGGGACCGTGCTGACGTGGGTACAGTAAGGTGCAGCTTAGCACTGCAAGCCACCCTGTGCATGTGCGTGAGCTTGTCATCCCCCTTCACCTTCCTCTAAAAGATAGTGAAAGAGCCACACCTTATTGCTAAGTGCTCTTGATAGTTTCATGTGCACTTGGGTCACATGCAGATTTAAATTGGTATGATGTTTGTCGCTTCTTGTTTCCAAATCAGCTCCTGTATTTGTGTGTGTGTCTGGGCAAAGGCGCGTACCCTCATGCAGAGAAAAGTGTTAACGTTCCCGCAACTGAAGGGCCTCTTTGTCCATTTCACTCACGCTGGCCCATTCATCATGACTGCCACTCCATCCCTTCTTTTCTTGACCTCGCTTAACTACATGTTCCCTGGATGTGTTTCCTTCCAGTCTGCCTGACGTGTGGGTGAATGAAACGGAGCGGTCTCAGCTGAAGACCAAAGTGGTGCACTTATCCCAGTTGCCGCAGGAAACCGCCATGCTGCTGGACCCCAACATATACAGGTGAAAATCTGTGTGATGCCACTGAAGTAACGCAGAACGTTTGACTTGGTTCAGCTTTCAGAGCCACCAGGGGGCATCGGTTTCCTACTGCCAGCCCCTCCTATAGTTTGTCAGCCTTTGCCAGTAGCTCAACTTTCTGAAGGCTGCCACAACCTGTCCAATTATGTATGCAGTTATTGTAATATAATCAAATGTTTTTTAAACATAGTAGAGACATCTTACAAAGACTTCATGATTACATGATTATGTTTGTCTGCAGTTCTGCAAGACCCTTTAACACGGTGAGAAACGGGTTTGCCTTCATAGAAACGACAACATAGCTAAAAGTGATTTCTCAAAAGAGGAACAATCCACCGAAAATATGAATAAGAACTAAAGGATATATACAAGGCAACCACAAAGGCTGATAGATCCTAACTGCACCTGAATATTGGATTGGATTGGATACAACTTTATTGTCAAATGTGCTGTATGTGTAATATGCATCGGTGTCAGTCACTCCTAGTGGACTCTGGTTTCACAGTTCAATATCCAGGTAATTGTCACACCTCAGCGGGTTTATTTCCAGGTTGTTTCACTACATTCAATCCAGAAACAAATGAGATTGTCTCTGAAAGAAAATGTGTCAGTGAGATAATCAGTGCCTACATGGAAGTTAATATCAAGAACAGTTGCAGCGGCGTAGATTTTATTTTGACCATAAATCTTTACAGGGGTGGCATTAGAGGCCCAAATGTTGCGTCATTGTCAATTGTCAAGATGAGATTAAACACTTGTTTTCACACTCTTACCATGTTTAGTTATGAAGTAAGTAAATGACTTGAGACAATGCAAACACTTTGTCAAAGGTGATTATTACGGGATCCCATTCACATTGTGTACTTTCTCTTTCAAGACAATTCTTTCCATATCTTTCCAGAGCGCTTCCACAGAAGCGACTAAAGCAGAGGTAAGTTTCATCCACTTCAGACAGTCATCATGGTGGTATGTACATAAAATGTTTAACAAATGATACTACTAGATCATTTTAAAATGTATTTTAAAATCAATTAAGCAAAATATATCACCTGAACATACATGCATTACAATACTGTACTTTTGCTGTTTTTTAAAAAATATTTAAGAGAGGGTGGGTGGAGAAAAAGCATGTTGAACATTTATCAGTGTCTTTTGAAGAATTTTCGGGGTTTAAAAAAATAATTTAAAAAACTACTGCACTCATTTCAATGAGTGTCAATTAATACACAGATTCGCAGGGCCGGCCTATCCTGTACTACCGGGTTGGTCTACTACTTGACTCACTCGACCTTTAGTGGTCATTCGAAAAAGTCTTTCTGAAAACTAAGCTAATAATACAGGGTGCCCCATAGGAAAAATAACCGTCTCTTGACAGACACCATTTTCATTTATATTATGTGCTGTGTATGGATGATTTCAATTTGTTGCTCTTCATTCAAATGCATTCCCTGGGTTATCTTATTCATAAATAAATACATGTTTGAACCGTATGTATGAAATGCATTATTTGTGTATGGAGAGTTATGGGACACCCTATTCATTTTATATTGACTAAAATAGTTCAGCACTAAATGCGTGAAATAAAATAAAGATTGTCAGAGCATGTGTAGTTCATCAAACAATCGGCCAACATCGCTCATGTTTTTAATTGTAATCGGTCATTCCTCACTAAAAACATCTCTCGCTCTCTCACATTTCACTCAGCCCGTAAGGAGACGTCTCTGGACTGAATTTTTATTCCTTGGTTTTAGAAGATAATTAGGATCGGACACGCACCATCGTCGTTCTCTGGAATGGCACATGGAACAATATGAACAACTTGCCTTCATCAGGAACTCTGGAGATTTTTTTTGGGGGCGGGGGGGAAGAAAATTTGAAAAGTATAGTATCTCCTCATACCCAATGTTCTCACAACTGTTTAGTGGAACAAACATTTTCAGTGTTTTTGTAAAAAATGACGTATGCAAATTTGTAACTTATTTTTATAACTTAAACGAATTGGTCATGGTTGTGTATTTGTGTGAGCAATGGCACCGTATTTACTGTGATAAGCTATTTTAATTGTCAGTAGTGAGGACACTTGAAGTGTTTAGATGGTCTTAAGCAGTATTAAATTTATACTGTCGTAATGGAGTGATTTTGACTGGCTGCGTTAACCCGTGGGAACGATATACATCTGACAGAAGCAATAACTGCTAATGATGCTTTGCGATGACCAACTTTATCAAAAAGAGACTTGATAAGCACCGGCATACCAAATTGCACCTCACCTCTTTCACTTCCCCGGTTTCCAATATGCATATATTGTGTATGTCCTACTCCTTACCAATCAACTGTTTCAGCACTCTGAATTCCTTTTAAACTTGTCGTGTTTTCTACTATCTGTTGTCCTGTTTCAGTGGGGTATTGTGTTTCTAATAAAACAAGGGCCATGATGAGAGTTGACAAATAGAGGTCGTTTTTTAATGACGAGGGTGCGAGGTGTGGAAGTGCCAGAAAGAAGCAATACTTCCATTGTGTTTACATAGGAGGGATTGGTTGCCTTATTTGGCATCCTCGAGCCAAAACGCTTTGGGAACGTGCTGTGAACAAGCTAATGATTCGGCCAGCAGGCAGAACCCCCGTTGGCCTTAGCTGAAAACTGAGTTCAGGCGGAGGTCTGCTCTGCTGCTCTTTATTAGCTTGTCCATTGGTCTCTTCCCGCATATGGGCTTCATTCAACTTGAGCTCTAATGGAGTTGATGATGGCACGTTCATGTATTCAATTTGCAGTAAAGAAGGTGGGTGGAATGAACGTTTGAATGGAGAGCATGCGAGTGTTAGTAATGCAGAATACAGTATACCGCATGGGTATTGAAATTCAAGGCTATTAAAGTTTTTATAAATAAAGGCCCACAAATATTTTTTTAAATGAGGCCATGTTCCATTTAAGGCCGGTCAGTCCGCATACGGGAGCACTGTTCAAAACAAAAATCCGAACTAAAATAAAATGTAATTTCCATGTTCACAACTTAGAATAAATAGTTGAGCAAAACAAAACATAGCCCCTGTCATTTATCCAAAGCTAAAACAACAAGAAAGAAGGAAATATGTCTTGCTGTTCTATTATTCGGTGGCTTTGCACTTTGTGTGTGCCAACATGTGCTTGTGTTTTCAAAGAGAAAAAAAATAAAAATACAAAGGAGTAATAAGTGAACCCAACCGTAGGATTATTAACAAAGATGACAATAAATTAACTCACACTCACAAATGACGTCGACTAAGAGCATTTGGCAACATGTACACAGATAACGTACTTTGTCGTATCTTCTGTTTGATGCTCCTTTTTTTCTGAAAGACAAAGTGCCACACTTGGGTTGTGAATTTAATGGCTTATGCTCAGTAACTGTCACTACGTAACTTCACATAAAACACAATCTGAATCACACCCAGACTACTTCTGCAGCCACGATGTGATGTCACTCCCATGCATTCACGTTGCGTGCCGCCTGAACTCCACCACTCCAATAATAAACGTACCAATTAACGCAAAAGTAATAAATGCTTAAGGCCCCTAGATTCTAAAGATGAACCTATTTCCCACAAACAATGAAGGACTCTCGCTCACATGCTACACATCATTTACAGGTATTATTTGCAGGTTTCCAAAGCCGTGAGTGGTACTTGGAGCGGGATGGGGGAGATCATGTTCTCGGTTGATTAATGACCATCTGTGTGTGACAAAGTAGTACAGTATTCTAATCTGCATAAGGGTTCGTTATGCTTACTTGGTCATGGTCATGCATATTGTCACCGCTAATAAATCTTATTTGGTGCTCTGCCCCTCCATTGTGAAGTATTGTTCCGCATCTATGCTGAGAATCGTTTTTTTGTTTTGTTTTTTTCCCCTCCAGCAGCCCTTAAAAGGTTCAGTTTACTGTGTGCGTGCGTGCGTGGCTCCGATATGAACTTGAGTCAACCAAATGACTCTCTTTTGGAGTTGAAATTACTCTGACTTGCAATGAACTGGCAAACAAATGTATTCTTGTTATTTTTCAAAGGATCTGGGCACTCAGCCCACATTCTATTCACTGAAGTACGGACAATTCCATGATATCATTCCCTAATATTTTACATGTATTGACCATGACCTACAACTTTTCTGTGCATTTTATTGCATTTCATGAATTTATTTATTTGAAAGGAGTCTACTTAGTCAAGATCCAAGAGAATTATTTGAAGGATATTGCAATTGAAACAAAAGCACATTGTTTCTGAGGCTTTTCCATATTTAATCCTGAGTGAACGGAATGATGTGTTGGAAGGCCAGTGTTGTTTTGAGGCGATCAACTATCACACTGATGCCAAATCCTGATCATCATGATTGATGGGCACGCTCCTTCCTTGAAAGGGGAACACTTGATTGATGAACGCTTTCACTCGTGGACTCCCTCTTAAAGCCTCCAGAGGATACATTGAACTACCACAAGACCAAAGGCTGAATGGAATTTGCAGAATGAGGTATCCGTTGCTTCTCTTGTTCAGTGATTAAAACTTGAAAACCATCCGCAGCTTGGCTCACATTTGCTCCGGAATGATCCAATGGTGGGCCTCACTGCGCAACACACGTGGTGGCAGTTTATACCATTTCCCTACGCGGTATATGACTAGGTGAAAAGCTGCATTGAATCAATAACAATTGCATACAATAAACAACATTAACCTGTGTACTTTATGGGTCTTTGTTAAAACATTTGAATAATGTGAAATTGATCATTCAATTGTGTCATGCTTTTTTTTTTTTTTTTTGTTTCACACTGCTGCATTTTATGTTAAAAAATTTTTTTAATGAGAAATAAATCATTCATTTATTTCATGCTTTTTTTTTTTTTTTTTTTGTTTCACACTGCTGCATTTTATAGTTTGCATCTTGTAAACATAAAACATGTACAACAGTAGCGTCGCACGACTACAGTGGTGCAAGTGAAGTGTTGTGATCTGCTTGGTTGTGTTGAACATGCACTGTCATAATTTCTCACAAATAGAAGCTGTAAAAGTTCCCCATTACAATCGGTCTGACCAACTGTACATTGACATGGAATTATAAACACTCGTACCCTGGGAGACTGAGGTTGTGGAGACTATGTAAGCGGTCGTAACAGTTGACCTGCAAGCAATGGTATGGCCTCTATTAATGAGTTAATGTCGAGCGTTGCTATTGTGTTTGCCCATTTCTCATTTCAGCTGGCAGATTCTGTGCCACTGTGCTGGATGGCCCCTTTGGCCATTTTGCCAACATACTTTCCCTTTTGCTGCTTTTACATCAGACGGCGCAACTGAGCCATTGCAGTCGCTTTTATTTATAGGCAATATTTCGTCATATCCACATTGGGTCATCAGCGCTTTATGGAAGAAAGAAAATGCAACCGTCACATCAAATGCGCTTGTGTCTTTGCTTTTGTTGTTCAAACTCATAATTCTGTTCTATGTTGAGAGATTGTGCAGAAATACATGTATTTATCATGCCTCGTTTATCCTCTGCTTCATGTGCTATGAAGAGCTTGACCATTCAGTGTACTGTAGATTCTTGTTGTCCATGATGTCAAATTGACGTGTTAACATTCTTAGACTGTTTGGGGCAGGAATGGCGAACAGGTTGATTGCAGCAAACTGTGCAGTGATGACAAATGCAGAAATAGTTAGCCTGAGCTGTTTTTGTGTGTGTTTTTTTTTCTTCTTTTTTCCTCCCACGAGTGTCCGTTGTGAACTCAGGCCCTCGGGAGCACCAATTAGTGAAGGCATATTAGCATCGGCCTCTCCACTCCCTTCCGTGAAACAGTGCAGATGCATTGTGCCCCCAACACTTTCCTCTGAAGGACGGATGTAGCCATATGGGGGATAATGTCGTGCTAGCTTCTGTTTCACCACTTCTGCAGCCTCAGGGAAACTTAAATGTTCTTGAGTGTGTTACAATTGTAATGTGCAACATGTACTGTAAGTCCTGCCGCACATCCAGTGACGTGGCCAAAAGTGAATGTGGAAAGTGGAGCATGGCAAAAAAAAAAGAAAAACAAATTCTGTTTGCCACACACCAAGCGATTGAGCACGGCACATCAACTGACGTGCTGCACTGAAAAACCTCTATCGGTTTTTGATGCTCTATATACAGTATACTATATTAATGTTTATTGAACCACAAAAACATGGCCTGATTGTCAAGGAAGCAGTGAACACTATTTTAACAAAGAGAGGAAACGTGTAAGAATAAAGGTGTGTGTGGCCTCTTTAACGAACTGCACCGTGTATTTCAGTGGCAGGCATTCTCTGCATTTAGCTTTATCTTCACGGGTACATATAATACTATAATGTTTTTATGGTAAAACACATCATCATTGCGTCGTGACGAAGTTCACATTATGAATCGCAGCAAAACCACTTGGCGACTGTCCAAAATTGCACAACGCAGGACAGCTCAGTCTGTGTTTGGAGTGTGTCACTCGGCATGTGGAGGGTTGAAAAAGATGGAGGGATTGACACTGAGCATCAATTTGTAGGGTTTCACAAATGTGATTGCTCGCTATCAGGCGCGCTTCACGGTGACAGAGGCATCAGCTGAGCAATTGAAGCGATCTAATTGCTATCTGAAGTGAAGCTCCTCCCTCCCTCATTCTTTCTCCGATGATTAAACACACGTCCTTGAAATGTGATTGGCTTGGTGTACTTTGCTCATGGCCCCCCATTTTTTTTTACTACACTTGAGCGATTTCTGAGAATTGCTCCATGTTCTCTCTTCTCTGTGACGTCTTCTCCCATTCTCTTGTCATTATTGCCTTGGAATGGACGCATTGTTTCTCCAATGCCATTTCACAATAA